GAGCGTTAATTGTTACCTGATCAACGAAGTGTCTTTCGTTGGTGATGACCAAATCCAAGAGGGATGGTAGTTGGCCTGCGCGGTATCTGCTGGGTGCAACGACATGCTGGGTCCAAGCGCTCTGTTGAACGACTTCAAACAGCACCGCAGCAAAATGTCCGCCTGATTCGACGCGCTGAAGCTCAATCCAGGAGTTCTTTGGGGCGTTGAAGTCACCTACCAGCAGGAGATATGTGAGTAGCCGAAGGTTTAGTGACCAGTGAGTTTGGCAGACTTAATAGTTGTGCACCGGTTTTGAGTCCAAGTCTCCAGAGTGTCCTCTGGATCGATGTTTTCTGCTTCCTCTCTCTGTGGTTTCTGGGGGTGCTTTTCGCTTGCGAGGTTTTTTCTTTCCGTGGGAGCTCGGTTTTCTCGGGCCGTTTGCGTTTAGGGGATGGACTTTTAGCCAGGACAGAGTTTTTTCCCCAAGAAGGAGTTTTTCCCCCGTTTCATCACCAATCGAGGTGACATCATTAGTGCGTAGTTGTTCGTAGCGGTGGGTTAGTGGTTGTGCATCCAGTTGTCTTACGTGTGTGTTGATATACGTGCTGGTAGCCGGGGATGACATTGACCGCGATTTAGTTATTCGGTCGGGCAGTTCCATTGGTTGTTCTTTTTATCCCGGGTCCTCATTTGTCGATGCCCGCCTGACCTTTGGACTTGGCATCCCTCGCCATCGTAGTCTGGTTGGAGTGAACTTTGTCTTTCTGAGTTCGGCTTTCGACCATTATTGATTCGACTCCAGCTCAGCGAACAAGCCAACGACCATCTACGCTACCTGAGCTACCGACATTTTCCTCTATATGAACTGAAATTTTACACGGATTTACGTATTCACGGATTCATGGATTGATATACGGGATCGACGCTTGCGCCCGAGTTTTCTGGGTCGGAATTGTTCTTGTCGTTCAGCGGCTGCCGTCATCTAATATATGCAAGCGTGAAAAAGGGTGGATCACTGCCCTGGGCGTTGCAGATTACCCTCAGTCCATCCCTTGTATACATTTAAAACGAATATTTAACAGACGAAACGCGTCTTCTGCAATGCCAGATAAATGCGTCAACCAGGACACGTCCAACTCAGCCACTAAAAACAGACAACGGTGCTCTCTCATCAATTTCCTGAATTGTGCATTTCCTGTGTTCAGCGACTGCAGTTCACCTTAAAGGCAGGGGTGAAAAAGGGTGTATCACTGCTCTTTAATTCCTCAGCGCAAGGCAGCAAGCTCGTCAACACGAGAACTTGCGCAGAAATCGTCTAATAGTGCTATGAACTGACAACTTGATGGAGTGTGGATAATAGCCGAAGCTTGCGGTCAGCCCGATTGCGTGCTGGTTTTATTGGATGAACACTGCGTCAGCTTCGTGAAGTTTCTGGACGGTCCTGTATTAAGCTTACGCTGAAGCTAGTCCCAGCTTAAATTGATCAGGAAAGTTGCGCATTCCTGAGATGTCTAAGCGGCAGAAGTTTCGAATCCACTTTTGAGTTCGTGATTTCTGGCCCAGTAGCAGATGAAATCAGTGGTGGCACACGGCGGTCACTGTTTCATAGTGGAGCACAGACCCACGGGGTGTCTCGTTTGTAATGACCAAATCAAGGATAGATTATAGGTGACCAGCGCGGAATCTGGTGGGTGCGGCCACATGTCGAATCCATGCGTTGTGCTGCACAACTTTTGTCAGCGCAACTGCAAACCGTCCACTGGACCCGACGCACTGGAGCTCGATCCAGGGTTAGTTGGGGGCGCTAAAATCTCCTACCAGCATGAGGTCTGTAGAGTGGTATCTGGAAGAAAGTTGCTCAAGTTTTGGTACGAGGAATTAGCCATATTCCAGAGGACTGGAAGGGATACGATAGGCCATGCTGAGAGGAAAATCGGTCCCGCATAGCTGGGTTTTGATTCACAGAGCTTCGCTCGAAGGTGCAGGGAAACTCGGGAAGGGCAGGGCCGATGTCCGCGTACGCATGTTTCCTCGTTTCGAGGCACTTGTGACCGCTACCCTTATTTTTCATTGTTATGGCGTTGGAATAATGAATGTGGGGTCAGTTTACTTCAACCAAAATATAGTTTCTGGTGCGAATACCTAGATGCTTTCAGACAACTGACACGTGTGCTGGAGAACGCACGTACACCTTCTACCAGGTGATGTGGCTCCCCTGCATCCATATATAATCCATATTTAAAGAGCTGCCGGCATCCACCACCTTCTCATAGATGTTTTCTTATGCAGTTTTTCTATCCACCGAAGGCACCTGCCTGATTTCAGCCTATCGAAACAAGTCATACCCCTTAGACTTGTTCCTAACCACTTGACCTGGATAAACAACTAAAACCAGTTCTGGATAAATTTCAGGGTCTGGCACTCATGAGGGCCGCAGCTGTCATTAAGTGGTTCATTGTTCAGGGGCAAATCCCGCTGCGCTTAGGATCGACTTCGGCGGCTAATGACCTGCCGTTGGTGGTCGGGGATAATGCGCCT